TTGGGGCCGGGTATGGGGGTGTTGGCGGGGTTACTGGGGGTTCTGGACCCAAAATAAAATAAAAAAATAAACTGCGGGGTGCCGACGACCCCCGACTGGTAGCTGCCGACCAGTCAAGGGCGCCGACCGTCAGGGTATGCAACACTGAACTCACCTAATACAGACAGGAGATCCCCCCGAGGTGTGGCTGACCACATCAACCCCAGAAGCCATGGGCAATAAAACAGCGGAGAGTGCAAGAAGAGCCACGTGGAGGTGGTTGAGTAATGGGTGCGCACATACCCGTCTGTCTTAAAGCACCAGTACATGGCCCCCCAGCCAAGTTGAGAGTCCGAGGAAACCTCTCCTAAAATTCCGGAGGCTCGCACGCCGTGGACAAAATAAATCGACAGCAGGCGACCTCCGAAAGGGGCCCACGGCCGATGGCTGGCATGTGCTAGTGGTTTGAAGCCACATGACCATCTCCCCCATTGGCAGGAAAAGAGCTTCCACCAATGCAGCATTAGGAACCACGGACTATAGCACTCGATTGCAAGGGAAAAGAGTCCGAACTTGGCCCATGGGAATTCCCACAGGAATCTCACCTGCAATAAATGCTCCATGAGCCTGCCTAGCGGTGCCACTGTGTAAACGCCGTAAAGCGCCCTGAAATGTGCTTTACAAGTCCATTGGAATCAGACTGAGAGTGCAATATCTGAGCCTCCTTGTGAAGATCTCGTGGCTAAACAAACCCCTTCGCTGGACAAAAACCTCACATCCATCCGAGCCAAAAGAATAGCAGAAAGTCTCTTGCTAGACAATCTGCAACCACATATAAACCACAGAGGTCAACTCCAAATGAAACCACATATGGATTGCCTGCAAGTACCAGCCTGATCCTAGCCGCTCAATCTAGCAATGCAGAGAGCTAGCAAGGCAGCCCTCAAACGACAAACGATGGACGATGCCAGGCTGGGAGCGTTGACCTTGCTGACGAGATCCACCCAGATCAAGGTCCTCCACCCAGAAGCATCAATCGTCAGAAAGCAATAAAAAGATGGAGAGTGCAAGGCCAGCAATGATGCTGTGGCTGAGTGCCAGGTGCCCGTACACAGTCTGCCTCAAAGGCAGACTTGCAAATCAGTAACAGGCGGGGGATGTGTGCATTTGTGCAAGAGCCTGTGTTGTAATGTGCAGTATACACACCTCCACAAAAAGGCACTGTCAGACTGTTTCGTCGGACTTTCACCAACTCATCAGGAGGTTGAACCCCGACAATCTGTGTACGATGCATTTGACTGACGACAAGGACTCGAGACATCACCCAGAGCTAGTGATACCACTGAGAGAAGCGGTTCACTTCACTCACGCCAACCCTGTGAATCCAACAGACCGCCGGTCCAAACACCGGGTAAGAACGGCAGTAAGTATAAGAAACCATTCTACCACAGCCATAAACCGACTCTACATACCCTCTCAATCAGGGAATTTGTGTGTGTGTTTTGAATATTCAACACAACAGCCCCTATTCCACCCAGATGACTAGACCCATAATCAAAGAGTGTTAGTCCTATTGCAGACAACCAAAACATTTGAGCTGAGACAATCAAACAATGAAACAGTTCTAGCTCTATAGCAAGTGTTTAAAACCTTCAACTGTACCTGTCATGTACACGGCTCGTCACGTTGATCGTGGTTGAGCGTGATCTGCCTACATCCCCATGTGCAATAATGCCCACTTGCACGCTACGAAAGGAGGCAGAGAAAAGGTGGAGGTATATTCCTGTTCACTTTTCCTCATGGACAGATAACCAGATAGACCGCTTATTAATTGATGGTAAGCATATCATCGATTCATCGTCCTTACCTTACGAACCACCTCAGCAGTGCTCATCTTGCCGTTCCTTGCCGTGGCTGCACCTCGCTTGTTTTGGCAGAAAGAGCAGGAGCCATAGTCAAAAGTCTGTGATTCACTGAAACTTGGTTATGGGATGGCAATGCCTATCTGCTACCTTATTCAACTGCCAGGCCTGTAAAACCCCACCCACATCCCCATCTTCACCTGGATTTCACCTGGCCAGATTGCCTTGCATCTCCATGATTTCAACTGTGAGAATACTCTGCCTCCCGTCAGCGTCATGCCTCAAACCATCGCCGTTCACAACCCTCAGTTTCGACTCGTGTCAGACCTAAGATACAGGGACGGCAGAGGGAGATTGAACCCTCGTCACCCCTGAAAATGAATCTCCTAAGCTCAGTATCTCTACAGCCATGGCTACAATCAACTTCCACCTTGAAAGCTACCCCCTTCAATGCAAGTGACACATCCTGATTACTTCTTACTGCTGTTGTACAGCAAATACGTCTTTTTGACGCGCTCCTTTATATTGATTACAGGCATCCATACCGTAGTGTTACAAGGTGTCCTCACAGTTAAAACACCAATGTCTTGACATACCCTTGCTGCATTGAACTGGAGAACTCGCACCATATGTAATGAGTGACATTGAAGAAACATTCAGCAACCCTGAGCCTACTTGCATTATACAAAATCAATGCAGGCTTCTTCCAGAATGCCAAGGCCCACATCAGGACCAGAAAGAATTCAACATGCCAAGGATCTGCATATCAGCCGGATGTCCAACCCACAATTGATCGCATGTGAAGTTGCACGACATTCGAAAAGGGCTTCCCACGACAGTCTGTATCATGGATCCAAAGTGCATTTCGCGACGATTGTGCAGGCTGACAGTGACAGTTTGGAGAAAGGTGGTCCGAGAATCCACCCCACGCTGCAGAACTACTTGCATTTTGGCTTCTCAACCGTTCGTTGCCCTTCATGACCACCTGCAGCTGACAGAGTATGCCGTGCATAACCCTATTTGTTCAACATCCTCAGCATTCGAGGCTGTAAGACCTGACCGCCGCCCCCCGCCCCCGCCCCCGCCCCCCAACCCCACGCCCCAGCATCACCAAAGATATCCCAAACCTGCTCCTAAGCTCGTGCCCAGATTGAAACGACCATCTTGGCATCTTCTGATTTTCCACACTAACCCAATGTCAATCGAAAGCTCTCGGCAATCATCAGCAGCATGTACAGGCGTAGGATAAGTAACACGAGTCTGCTGAATTCTCACACTGTGAAAGCGTCCCTTCCCCTTTGTCGTTTGTTCCTGTGAGCCCCACATGCGGACATCTTCATTCTTCCTTGGTGTAGCTCGATTGGCCCCAGAAACAACCGAGTCCCGTCAGAAGGAAATAAAACGCAGGGACATCCAAGTCTTCAGGCTGGCAGTCAGCAACCTGGATATTTATGTTAACCACAGCAAACTGGACAATTTTTCCAAAAGATTCTATCTTCTAGCCAACCACTTCATGTGTGTGCACTGTGCACCATTTTTCCAAAAGATAGAATGCCTTGATTGGTTGGAAGTTTGTGGGGTGAGATGACCTTGATATTGGAAAAGAAGCAGGACAGTAAAGGAAAGCACGAGAGCAGATATGGAAGACGGGGCAGAAAATGAATATCCTGTCTGTATTCTCTCCCCCTACCGTGGAGAACTTTAGCCAGCTCCTGCATGCTCCCAGACGTCACCGCTACAACAGCAACATAACTGACCTGCCTTGGCCTCCATGGCTTACCAGTATGCCTAGCTCTCATCACCGCACTTCATAATTTAACCTCAAGTCGCCATCTCCCCTCCCCTCCCTACTTCCACCTCCACACTGGCTTAGTGAAAGAGCACCCAGGCTGTACAGCATCCAGCTAGAGCATACTGGCCACTTTTCCAAATCACATCCCAGCCCGCCTCTCTCTTCTAGAACTACTCGGGGCAGCCAGGGGATGTCTTCCAATGCGCGGTCCACCTGCATAATGACAAGAGAGATTTCATTCCATTACAAAAAGAGCAGTGAGTGGACAGGTATTCGCAGACGGACACATTGCAAGAGCTCTCAAGTCCAGATCATCACACACATACAAGTTTGAGTTTTTGTGACTGACTTTTCTTCTTTGGTGGTGTTTCTTTCCTCCTGTTCTCCTTGACCTCAGTGGCATCAGGACCTTAGAGATGTGCCAGATACTGAGATGCTGGTTGCCAGAAGTGCCAGCAACACTACTGGTAGGGGGCAGGGGGAGACGGGGAGCTGTACGCAGGATGCCCATGTGTCTCTGTGTTCCATGGTGGTGAAAAAGATTCGCCGAAGTGACTCCCTGGCCTTTGATGGCAAGGACAATACACCGTGTACCTGTTATTTTCGGTGCCAGTCGTTTGAACAGTTTTTCTGCCAGGGGATTTTCCAGGTTGTGGGCCTTTCCTTCCAAATCCTTGCTACACTGGTATCTTTGCCGATTTGCCCCTCTGAGATTTTGGCAACAGAGTTCACTCATCGATTTTTGAAATATCTGGCACCAACAGTTCAGGTTGGGCCCATTCAGACCCAAGCTTGGGAGTGGTACTTGTACTGACCGCCAGCAGCACAGTTTATTCATCGTTGAATCAACAAGAGCTTCACTCTGTTCTTTGTTCAAGAATTCTTCTTGCTGCTGAAATCTTCATGCATGCATGGAGTCTAATCCGTCTCTCTCTCTCTCTCTCTCTTCCTCCTCCCGACCTACCGCTCTCAGATTCTGAGTGCTGTTGAGTCAAATTCGTGTGTGAGCGTCAAGCCTCTCCTCCCCTTCCACGGCCTCTCTGCACCAGTCCTGTTAAAGAGTCCAATGAAACAGCATCACCAAAACTCTTTCCATTCCCTCCACCCTCCCAACGACACTGTGCACTCTCTACCAGCCAAACCACCACCCATTCAATCCCATCAAATCTTGTAAATCAGAATTCCCTCGCCTTGCTTTGACCTGGGGCCCGCCCACCTACCCACCCATTTCATGTACTGCCCTTTTGTCTTCCCCCAATACATATCTTTCCTGAGGATCAGTACCATATCGAGAAATATTACTATCAGCATCCCCTACCAAACATCACCATGTTTTCCTCCACGACAACTGTTGACATTGGAATGACTCAGAGACGATTAGCATTGCCCCATCTTAAATCGAGAGATGATCCAAGTTCAAAAAAAAAAGGAAGAAAAAAAGAAAAGAAATATCAGTGTGTAGGTCCATAGACTCCATACAAACAAATACCACCTCCAGTACGCCAAGTCTTACTTGGGTCTTGTGTCATGAGCATTGTCGACATGGCTAACCAAAACACACATCACCATACACACGCGCGTGGCAGTGCACGCGCACACACACACACACACACACACACACACACACACACACACACGGGGGCAACCTTGCATCTATACCTTTCTGGTTTTATGGATGGTTTGTGATGATTTGTGGTTGGAATGAGAGAGAATTTCGGGATCTTTAAAAGACACACACACACACACACACACACACACACACACACACACACACACACACACACACACAGCCAAGCTTGCAGTGACAACCTCTTGCAGAAAACCCGGACTTTTGCAGGCACGCTCAAGCAGCATATTCTTGAGACTCCAAAAAAAACAGCATTCAAGATCAGGTTCTCCCACTAGCTCAATTGACAGCATACCTGCTCTATCCGTCGACATCCCGCGGCCAAGTGCCATTCCATATTCCTGTCCACTCGCCCCGTACCATCCTGCCTGATGTCCTGGGGGCTCCACCTGTGACACAACAAAACCATTCCAGACCTGTGTCGCATAACCATTAGATGGCCCATCCATTGCCCCATTCACTCCGCTATTCATAATGCTCAAGCCGCTGGAACCATGGGGGGAGCCAACCGGCATACCAGCAGAATAGTTTGCCGGGTTACCTACCTGGTTGCCCCCAAAACCACCTCCGACCACATTCCGTGGAGTGTGCACAGGTGAGAGCATGTGCATGCTGTCGACCCGATCGGACGACGAAAGGGTACTCATCCAAGCAGAAAACACCTGACCCTGCGGCGAGAGTGGAGGCTGTTGGCTTTGATGATGGTGGTGGTTAGGATGCATGTAACCTCCTGCTTGCTCCTGAAGCTGAACAAACTGGTGTTGCTGGGAGGTTTGCTGCCAGAGGGGATTCAACCGGCTGCTAGAAGTCTGATAAACTCCATGCTGGGTCGGTGTCTGCTGTTGTTGCTGTAGTTGGCTTGCTGGCGGCATTTGCTGCTGTGATGGCTGTCCTGATGTAGTCACGCCGGCATGCTGAAGCGACATGTTCATGCCTTGATGAGGGACATGACCAGCAGATGTCCCAATATTGGAAGAGGTCCCATACTGCTTTGGATTGGTTGGGGAGCTCTCCTCAACCGATCCCGTACTACCATTGGTTCTGCACAAAGAACATTCGTCAGAAGACCAATACGCTGCCGTTAAAACTGCATCCTCTATCATTTCCCAATTTAAAAGGGCCTTTACCCGATATAGGCCTCAGGCCTTGTAAAAATAAAGCAGCACGGGCCTTGAAAAAGTAAAGCATTGTGAAAAGGTATCTCGTCAGAGCTCAGAAACGTGAAAGCAGGTCAAAGGTCAAGTTCTCTATCAACAGGCATATTTAAAACTAAGGCAAAGGGCATTGTCAAAAGACTTACCTGTTCACCAGGAGATGTGTATGTCATGTCTGTTTGGGTAAGGGTGTGTCTGTACGTGCAGACAGAGTGTCTGTTCGTGCCAAGTAAAGTGTCTGTTCAAGCAGTAAATGTGTCTGTTCGTTGAGAGTTGTGCCTGTCCGAAAGTAAAGTCAATAGGCACAGTCCCAGTTCTGGTCTAAGTCCAGGGGTCAGTCCAGATCCAGACTTTCAAGTCCAAATACAGGCCGGGAGGCCTCAGCAGCAGTTGAACTTCGTTTGGGACTCTACTGGGACACATGCAATGCAGGGTCTGGGACAAAAGGAAGGCTGGATTGAGCCAATACAGACCCAGCGAGGAAGTATAAACGAGGCAGCCAGCCTCATTCCGAGGCAGATTTCCACTGGCTGCCAATGCGTGGAAGTGCTGGTGCACTTGTGCGCTGAGTCAGGAGGAGCAGCGCTGGAGAAGAAGATGCGCTGGAGGAAGGAAGATGCCTGTACGCTGGAAGTGATGCAGCCATAGCTGCCCAGCGAGTTGGTATTAGAAGTAGAGGGTTAGTATGTAGCTATGAGTAGTATCCAGAGTAGATCCTCATGAGTATTGAAGAGTGTATATGCNATGAGTGGTGACCACATTGATGACTTGGAGACTATCTGCAGGGGTAGCACTGATTCACTGGAAGGCATATTGATGAGTTGGCAAGATATTGGTGTTGCGCTGATGAGCGCTGGACTCAGGGAAACTTTGAAACACTTTGTATTCATATTTTTGATAATATAAGCTGTGAAACTCGGTTTTCATCTTCTCTACCTTTGTCTATTATCAGACTATTGTTCGTTGTGTGTGGGAGAACGATGCATGGCATGTACACACTTGCGTGAGATGGTCTCCAGGACCCATGCAAATTTTTAATAAAATGACAAGAACAGTGCTTCAACATCACAAACAGCCCTTCCCCGACAACCAAATTCTCAAGCAATTTCTGTGGCCGTGAAGTTGGTGTAGACAGATAGCCATCCTTGTTCTACACGAGACCATGTCGATTTCACGCACAACAATTCATAACGCATCACAGCCAACACCACATGTGACGGCCCCAAAGCACACCACCCACTGCTTTGGTCATCAGCAGAATATCGAATTAATGTCATTCCCACTGGCAGGATTTAAGATTGAACAGTTTGCAACTGCACCGTTAATCACATGAGGAATAAACTGACATCCACTGCTGTCGACTAGTCCCCTGGTTGTACTGAACAAGGTGCACTCGTATATTGTCACAGGTCTATGAACTAAAAGAACGCACTTTGCAGAGAAAATGGTAAAAATAAGAAAAAACAAGACCAACACGAAGGGCACACTGAAACCATTCATTTTCCTCATTCTTATTTTAACTTCCCCTTCACTGTGCCTCTCACGTACAAGGCTAGCCGCGTTGATGAAGTTAAGCGAGATGCCCACATCCCCTTGTGTCATAATGGCCCACGTGTACACTGTGAGAAAGAGGTAGAGTAAGGGGGGAGGGGATAAACACAGGGAAGAGAGATGGAGAGAAGACAAACAAAGAACAACAAAGGGAAAGTAAGGGAAAGTACGGAGCGTGGAATGAAGATGAAGACAAAGGAGAGGATAAGGAAAAGCTCAAGAATGAGTCTGTCCTTGACGACAGAGAGAACACATTGTAAGGATGAGGTGGGTGAACACATGGAAGACATGGCTGAGCACACACAGTACAACAATTGGCACAGCGGCGGGCATTGAGCATGCCCACCATACATTCCCAACAAATGGCATGTCAATTGCAGGCCAAAATGAAGGAAGAACGCTCACCAGAAAAGACCATGCATTCAGTATAGCGCCCATGTCTGCAAAATGGACATATTTTCCTGATGCGGAGGGTGCCTGCAGTCAGCAACGGACGGACCATCCTCTACACATGGATGCAGAAACCATGTCATTGTAGTGATTCTGACCGTATATATTGTCAGCCCCTCATCTGTTTAGAGGACTTGCCACATGGCTAAACACACGGCCATCCGCTGATTTTTTTAAAGATCGGGGGCATATGACGGCAGTATAGGGGGGGTATAAGAGGGGTATAGGGGGGTATAGGGTTTTTGGGGG